GTGTGTGTGTGTGTGTGTGTGTGTTTGTGTGTAAAACGCAGTGGCTCAGTGGCTAAGATGCTGAGCTTGTCGATCAGAAAGGTCAGCAGTTTGGCAGTTCAAATCCCTAATGTGTAATGGAGTAAGCTCCCATTGCTTGTCCAAGCTTCTGCCAACGTAGCAGTTTGAAAGCACATTTAAAATGCAAGTATAAAAATAGGAACCACCTTTGGTGGGAAGGTAACACTGTTCCATGCACCTTTGGTCATGCCGGCCACAAGACCACGGAGACGTCTTCAGCCAGCGCTGGCTCTTTGGCTTTGAAACGGAGATGAGCATCGCCTCTTAGAGTCAGGAACGACTAGCACATTTGTGTGAGGGGAGCCTATACCTTTACCTTTTTATAGACTTATACTCAAGATGTTACAGTCTTGACTTTTTTCTCCCTTTTTTCTGAACAAATTCTTTGCATTTTCTTGAGAATCGTGAAAGCACCTAGTTTTTGTTGATATAAGAGCATAGTTGTCTCTAGCTCTGAAGAGAATTGCCTTGTCAGCTTCATTACTTATAACAGGACTGCTGAGTTCGGCTCCATTCCATGTCTGTTATTCAGCTCTGTTTATACAACATTCTCTAATGTAGAATAACTAATACTTCTACCTTGTTTTAGAAAAAGGGAATTTTAAGATGGCAATATTTTATTGAAGGAGTAATAAATGTTACTTATTCTAATTCCATTTATAAATTTTTGATGTCAACAATTTTTTTGTTTGAATATTGTATTCAAGAATCATGCTGAATTTTGCAAGTAAGTAAGTTGAAATTTTCTCCATCCTTGATGAAAATACTTGGTTTATAAATTCCTTATAAGAAAGTCACATTTATTCCTTCCTATCACTGGAAATACAACATATTGTCCTTGTGCAAAGCTCAGCACATACTAATTATTGCAGTTGAAGTGATAAAGCTTTTCTGAATATAGAGCAAAATGGAAATTGGGAAGAAATAGCCTCCTAAACATTCATAAAAATATACACATAATTAGTTTTTACTCTCTATATTATGGTACTAGCACTGGGTATACTCCAGGGAATTTTTCTTTTTGGAATTTCAAGGTTGTCAACATTTTATTTTAGTTTGAAAATGCATATGATGTCTCTAATGATACCACTGAGCCCATTTTTCAGAGACCCTATAGAGCAGTTGACACATCAGAAAAATTTAGCGTGCATATAATGGGAAGTGAGGTACTAAATCCTGAAAAAAAAGGTCCAGGTGTTAATTTGCTTTTGCTTTCTTTACAATACGCAGGTCATGTTATATTTAATTGTAATCATTTGTGCAAAAGACTGACCATACTAGATGCGAGATACAGTCTAAGTGAGATAAAATGTAAAAGGTCTGTACAAGACCTTTAGAAAGGCACGATAGCATTTCTTCTTCCAGTTTTAAGAACTGAACTATATATTTGGAAGACTCCTATCACACTTTAGAAGGCTGCCCTCAGCTGTCTCTTTTGTATGTGCATACAGTCCCTTCATTTCATTGATGATCCTGGCGGAAGAGTTGTTTGTGCATGCTCATGTATGCACAGACAGCTGTGAAGCAGCTGAGAAAGCATTCTAGAGAATCAGACTATTTTAACCCTTGGAGGACAGAAGCTTTGCTCATGCTCACCGGCTTTTCAAATAATCCATCTGGAATGCTTTGCACAAACCTGTAAAATAATTACAGTAGTATCTACTTATAGAATAGAATAGAATAGAATAACAGAGTTGGGGCCCTGGAGGTCTTCTAGTCCAACCCATAGGCAGGAAACCCTACACCACTTCAGGCAAATGGTTATCCAATATCTTCTTAAAAACTTCCAGTGTTGGGGCATTCACAACTTCTGGAGGCAAGTTGTTCCACTGATTAATTGTTCTAACTGTTAGAAAATTTCTCCTCAGTTCTAAGTTGCTTCTCTCCTTGATTAGTTTCCACCCCATTGCTTCTTGTCCTACCCTCAGGTGCTTTGGAGAATAGCTTGACTATTCCCCTGTATCTTTTTGTAATATCTTAGACGAAAGGTGTCAAACTCATGTCGTCATGGTGGCATCACATGACATATTGGGAGTCCCCCCCTCCTTTGGTAAACCTGGCATGAGAATGGCCAATGTATGATGCATTCCGGCCCATGGGCCAGGAGTTTGACAGCCCTGTCTTAGACTATTTAAATGTATTGCATGCATATTTCAGGAATTCTCATATCAGGTCTAGCTAGCTGGGGAATTCTGGGAGTTGAAGTTTTCCCCTTTTAAAATTGTCTAAGTTGAGAGACACTGACCTAGAGCCATCTGCTTAAGTACACAGTGGTAAGATAGCAGAGTAGTTAACAATTCTCTTAACAGTTATTCTCGTATATGCAAATCCTTAAGGAAATGTATAAAGGCAGTTCAATAAAATCAATGAAGTAGTTTAGTTAGCATATATAGAGCAGCATGCTCATATTTCCACAGAAGTTCAGACCAGCCCTGAATTTTAGGTTTTAGATATATCAAAGTGAAATATGCTAC